GTCAGTCATCCGATGACCATTCAGTGCCTGAAGCCAGCTTCTCACGTCTGTGTGAACTCCTGCGCTGCGGTAGCCCTCTACATTCTGTATCAACTTTCCGTAGATTGAGTTCATAGCGAGCTTCACGGCTTCGGCCTCGATGGGGTGACCCGCCTTTTTGAGACGGATGCGTTCGTCGTAGCACCACTGCATCCACGGAGCCAGCGCCTTTGAGCAACGGAACTTGATGGCGGCATGGATCTTGCGCACGCGGGCCCTCATCACCTCCTGCATAAACTGGAGCCTCTTCGCGTCAACGTCTTCTTCGATGTGGCGACCAAGATACGGTACGAGTTTCTCGGAGCCACGCAGATCGCATCCGTTCTCCGCAGCAATCCTCAACGAGTGCTCCCCGAGCATGTCTTTCGTCACCTTCATCCTCGCGGGAGGCGCCCAATCAAGCTGGTCGTGGTACTCGGCAGGGAAATCGAAGTCGATCACCACCAGGTAGCACTCTTCTTCGTCCCTCGCTTGGAAGTCGATCCCGTCCAGCATCGCCTCCAGCCAGGCAAAGCGTTCTTCTTGACTTTGCGGGAGAGCTATCATCTCGCCAGAGTCGCAAGGAAGGGGATGGGTCATGAGGCCTGGGTACATGGAATTCACGTCCAGCGGCAGGATGTAGCTCTGAGGCTGTCGCGAGTCAAAATCGTCGAGGCCCGGATGGTTGGCCTTTGCGTATGGCTGAAAGATGCAGCTCAGGCCTCCCATAACGGAGCGCCTAACCACTCGGTAGATCTCCTCCTCCACGATAAGGTTGATTGGTCGGTGCACGGTGGACTTCAAGAGCATGGCGTCGAAGGCTGCTCCCGGCAAGGTGATGTACTGGAGAGCGTCCACTCGAAAGCGACGAAAGAATGCTCCCCGGAATGCCTCCATCACGTCCGACAACGCCAGATCCATGACAAGGTACGCATCATGCATCTCTCGAAAAGTTCGCCACCCCATGATGGCCGCCGTCTCCACGAGAAGCTGGTAGGCCTCGTCCTTCTTTCGTCTGGCTTGCTGAGTGTCAGGATCCAGCTTGGAATCATAGCACTGTCTGCTCCACACGGGAGCGGCTTGCCATACCTCCGGCCGGCCCTTTCATGCGCTCGAACGGCATTGGCAGCTTGCGAAGAAGGAGTTCCCACGTCCATTGCTTGTAGACCTCCATAGGGCAATCTCTCCAGCCCTCTGCGTCCTTGTCACTCGCGAAGTGCAGCCAAAGTCGTCTGCGTCTCTCCTCGGTCAAGCGATCTTCGTTTAGGTCAGGGTGCGTCAAGGCCACGTGCGGGAAGACAGCAGATGCATTGCCTTGGGGTGCGGTCTTCTTCAGCTCGGAAATGAGGTCACCCAGACCCTGCTTGTAAAAGTTCATGCTGTCGCGGAAGACCAAATTGCCGAAGCGAAACTGCAGCAGCTTCTCCCCGGACTTGAAGAGCACCTGGAACGTCAGCTTGGAGAAGTCGGCCTCTTCGTCCAAGTCCTCGGTCGCGGGGAGCTGCTCGTCCTCCACCATCACCTCCTGGGGTTGACCGGTACTGCCTCCTCCTCTCAGGTAGGCGATGGCCCTGATGAGGAAGCCAAAGTCGAAGGACCCGCCGTTGTGAAAGAACACCGGAACACAGGGAGGCTGCCTTATGCCTTTGTTGCAAGTGGCACACAATGCCTCCAAGTACTCACCAGTCCCGTGCCGGTGGTGGCACACCTTCATGCGCCTGGAGTCGCCCTCGCGGAAGGCAATGTTACATCGCTCACAACGAACAGCTTCTTGGTGATGTCTCCACTGCAAATCCGTGGGCTTCGCCATGACGTTGGTTTGCTCCGCCCACGCCTTGTAGCTCTTGGCAAGAGCCAAGCTTTTGCGGAGAAAGCGCTCCACGACGGCAAACCGGTGCTCCCCAATCTCAGCATGGGTAACAAAGATCTTGTCCGCCTGGTCGACCTCAAAGCCGTTGCGAGTCACGGCCATGAAGGCCGCAGAAGCTACATTTCGCTGGATCCCGTGGCTGATCTCCTGGACCTGCACGTTGGGAGCCTCCTCAGTCCAAGTCTCCAAGTCCGCGAACAACACGAGGGGAGCGAGCTCTGCAGAATTCCCAGCCTTGTAGCGAAGGCGGTGCTCGTTCTTGCTCACGTTGGGCATGCGAATTGGCGAAAACCTTTTTGCAGGATCTCGGCTGCAAGGTTTCTCCTGGCGCGCGACCAAGGTCTCTGCACTTTTGAAGGACCCGCCACACCGGTGGCAAGCGAAGACCTGAGTCGTAAGACGTCTTGATCCGTCGAGCTCCGCGCTCCGGTTGCTGCAGAAGTTGTTGAAGTTGAAGATGAGCATGAAGTGATTCACCACGCGCAGCAACAGGATCTGGATGGGGGCGTCCTCCACGGTGGGTCCTCTCACCATCTCGCTGGAAGAACTTGCGCTCGCCCCAATCAACTTTGATCCACTCCCAGACGTAGCACGCGACCTTGCCGTGGTTTGCGGCTTCGAAGGCGTCTATATCGGTCCAAACGACACCGCGATCAGTCGGAAGTGTAGAGAAGTCCAGGCCAAAGTCGTTGAGGCGGACCTGAGCGCCTTTGGCAGGGCGATTTGGTGCGGGAGCATAGCCATCCAAGTAAAAGCGACGGTCTCGAACTTTCTTGGCAGCCTTCTTGCGGTCGTTGCTGCTCCAGCTCTCAATGCCGGCCATGTGTGCTCTTACACACCACTGAAAGCACTGGGTGTCCTCGTTCTGAGGATTCCAAACCCCGCGCTTGTTGCCGAGACCCTCCGGCATCTCATGGATTTTGGCTCCCACCGGTCTGTCTTCTGCAACGGCAGGACCAGGCAGGCGTGCCATCTCGCCAGAGGGGGCCACGAGGAGGTAGATCGCCTCAATGTGCCCGATAATGTCTCTCGACCCACGGAATCTTGCCCTCTCCAAATGGATCTCGAGCTTCTGCCTGGCCGCCGAAATCATCGCGGCCATCCGTCGATCAGGGTCGCCATTCGGTGATACCTTCCAAGGAGCAGGCTGAAGCAGGTCGTAGCCGCCGTACGCCGGAAGCACATCCTCGACCTCCTCATCGCCCCAGGGATTGGGATTGTGAATCACAATAGTCATCTTGAAGCTCACCTTTGCCCAAAAGGGCAGCTGCGTGGTCAAATGAGGAGTCAGCGGACTGCGAAGCTCCACGAGGTCATCCACCGTCGCAGGTGCGTTTTGACGGGAAATCTTGAACTCCCGGGCCCATATCATCTCACGAGGAGCCAGCTCCACAACTTGCACGTTTGCGGCTGCCATGGCTGAAAGGAATGAAAGTAATGATTCGCTATATGGAAAATGAAATAAACCCTTTTCCTTAAATCCCCTGTCAACTTGGTCGGAGATCGTGGATGTGTTCACTTGACAGACTCTCCGAAGCTAGCAGCAGAAAAGCTTCCAGCGGACGTGACAGAAATGACCTCGCAACAGGCTTCAACTCAAGGCAGACACAATGCACTAAGAGGGCCCCACCAGCGAAGATGGAAAGTAATCGAAGAAAACCTGGGCCTGCGGCTTTAAGAGGGACGCGTAGGAGCTTAGCGGAGCACCTCCCAGATTTTCAATGCCCAGAATTCTTTGATGCGTTCCCAAACCACCCCCAGAATGC